ATCAGCTAATTGGGTCAGCTCTTGGAGTGAGTGGTTGGAAGCTGAGTGTTTGAATTGTGGGTGGAAATGGGTAGAAGGACCCAGAAAATTAGTTTTATTTGTCATTTGGACGAGAGGATTGGGTTGAGGAGGCAGAGGAGGGGTATGCTCTGGGATGTGGGGGGAGGAACATATTTGCAGCCTGACTGACAAATTCACTTTTCTCTGATGGAACTGTTGGCAGTGCCAGCGACAAAACTGCAGAGGGCTCAAGCTGGGTCCTGCGAGCGAGCAGAACGGGAGCAGGCTGTGGGAATGTGCCGGCTGTGGGTGCAGGAGCTCAGCCCCGCGGCTGCCCCGGCTCGCCCTGCGCACAGGAGACCGCCGGGGACCCCTTCGGGCTGGCCTGGGGGGCAGCTGGGTTTGTCCTGGATTTCATGGCTGAGCAGTCGCCACAGCCAGCTCTGGGAGCGCTTCCAGGCTGCCCCGGGTCCCTGGGAAAGCGGTGGCTGTTCCTCCAGCCGGGGACGCTGCCCTGGACTGGGTCAGGGAGTGAGGGACCAGGAAACGTAGCTGCCAGCGACAGAAAAGCCGCGAGGGCTGGGCTGGCTCAGGGACACTTGTGGGGAGGGTGGCTGAGCCTGGCGTGTCCCGTGGGGGGTGAGTGGCACCAGCAGAGCCCCGAGGGACGTTTGGGCTCACACTGGGACACGAGAGGCTCTGGGGCTGCGCAGAGCAGAGCAGGGGAACGGCAAAGACCAGAGCAGGAACAGCGCAGAGTAGGGGAACCAAGACCAGAGCAGGGGAACAGCCCAGCCCGGCCCAGCTCAGCCCAGCTTGGCCCAGCTCAGCTCAGCCCGGCCCAGCCCGGCTCAGGCTCCCCTGCGGCCGGGGGACGCGGGCTGTGTCCTCCAGCAGCCGAGCCGCGGTGACATTTCCCTGCAGCTCCGGCTGCCCGTGTCAGGCAGGGGAGGGGAGCTCTGGCTCTGGTCCTGGCTCTGGCCCTGGTCTGGTTCTGCTCCAGCTCTGCTCTGGCCCTGATCTGGCCCTGGTTCTGGCCCTGGCCCTGATCTGGCTCTGTGCAGGAGCTCAGCCCCGCGGCTGCCCCGGCTCGCCCTGCGCACAGGAGACCGCCGGGGACCCCTTCGGGCTGGCCTGGGGGGCAGCTGGGTTTGTCCTGGATTTCATGGCTGAGCAGTCGCCACAGCCAGCTCTGGGAGCGCTTCCAGGCTGCCCCGGGTCCCTGGGAAAGCGGTGGCTGTTCCTCCAGCCGGGGACGCTGCCCTGGACTGGGTCAGGGAGTGAGGGACCAGGAAACGTAGCTGCCAGCGACAGAAAAGCCGCGAGGGCTGGGCTGGCTCAGGGACACTTGTGGGGAGGGTGGCTGAGCCTGGCGTGTCCCGTGGGGGGTGAGTGGCACCAGCAGAGCCCCGAGGGACGTTTGGGCTCACACTGGGACACGAGAGGCTCTGGGGCTGCGCAGAGCAGAGCAGGGGAACGGCAAAGACCAGAGCAGGAACAGCGCAGAGTAGGGGAACCAAGACCAGAGCAGGGGAACAGCCCAGCCCGGCCCAGCTCAGCCCAGCTTGGCCCAGCTCAGCTCAGCCCGGCCCAGCCCGGCTCAGGCTCCCCTGCGGCCGGGGGACGCGGGCTGTGTCCTCCAGCAGCCGAGCCGCGGTGACATTTCCCTGCAGCTCCAGCTGCCCGTGTCAGGCAGGGGAGGGGAGCTCTGGCCCTGGTCTGGTTCTGGCCCTGGCCCTGGCTCTGGCCCTGGTCTGGTTCTGGCTCTGGCCCTGGTCTGGATCTGGCCCTGGCCCTGGTCTGGTTCTGGCCCTGGCTCTGGCCTGGCCGTCCCTCCCCGAGGCTGGAGCTCCCAGGGAAGCGGTTTTGTCTGTGCCCGCTGCTCCCGGCGCTGCCCCGAGCCAGCCCGGCAGGCGGAGAGCCCCGAGCCGGGCCGGGCCGGGCCGGGCCGGGACAAACACAGCGCTCCATGCCCCGAGCAAGGCTCCGGGCCCCGGGAGCCCGCTGGCACCGCCGGGAGCAGGGACACGTCCCCGCCGTCCCGAGGGCAGGCAGAGGAGCCGTCGGTGGCGAGTCCCTGGCAAAGCCTTTTGTTTCCGCTCAAATGAGAGCTTGCACAAACAATGATGGCACCATTCCTGCTCTGCACATCGATCCGGTGCTGTAGTCAGGCAGGAGAGCTGCAATAAAACCCTGGCCTTTAATTTTATGCATGGAGAAGTTCTTACCTGCCCTCCCCTCCCTGTCCTCCCCCCCACCGCTCCTTTTCCAACTGCAGCTATTTTTCCCTGCTGACTTCAGGTGTTTTGTATTCTGCTTAGATCAATAGCAGCACAACAGCAGCAGCTTTGCAGTTGTCACTAGGAAGACCCTGCTGTCAGCTCCAGCTCAGCCGGGCTGGAGAGCCCTTGTGCTTCCCTGGCAGACACAAAGGGCTGCACAGCAAACCAGCGCTCTATTGATTTGGGGTTTAATTATAATTTTTTTTTTTTTTTTTAATCCAGCCTGGGGAAAGCTGTGCTCTCCCCGAGCTGCGGGGTTTGCCTCCCGCGCTGGGCTCGCGAGGAGGAGCGCGGGTTGCCCGTGTCAGGCAGGGGAGGGGGGCTCTGGCTCTGGTCTGGTTCTGGCTCTGGCTCTGGTCTGGTTCTGGCCCTGGCCCTGGCCCTGGCCCTGGCCCTGGCTCTGATCTGGCTCTGGCTCTGGTCTGGTTCTGGCTCTGGCTCTGGCCCTGGTTCTGGCCCTGGTTCTGCTCTGGCTCTGCTCTGGCCCTGATCTGGCCCTGGTTCTGGCCCTGGCCCTGATCTGGCCCTGGCCCTGGCTCTGGCTCTGATCTGGCCCTGGCTCTGCTCTGGCTCTGATCTGGCTCTGGCCCTGGCCCTGCTCTGGCCCTGGCCCTGGTCCTGGCTCTGGCCCTGGCTCTGGCTCTGGCTCTGGCCCTGGCTCTGGCTCTGCTCTGGCCCTGGCCCTGCTCTGGTCTGGCTCTGGCCGGCGGCACTGCGGGACGCCCGGAGCTGCCCCTGGGCGGCCCTGCCCGGGAGCTGCTCCCCGGTGCCATCCTGCTGAGCAGCCTCCCAGCCACGAGCAGCACCAGCAAATCCATTGCCTAATCCGTGCCAGGACCCCGTCAGCTGCTGGGAGCCCTCAGCTGTGGCTTTTTCACAACCTCTGATGTTTGTGTTGGCCTGCAGCAAATCAATGCCAGGGTTTTGGTTTTGTTTTTTATTTTTTTTATTTTTTTTTTTATTCGTGGAACAAAAAGTGTTCGCTGCAACACAACCTTTGTGTGCATCTCCCACTCCTGAGTGCCAGGAGGGAGCCACAGAGTGGTAAGGCTTGGGAGGGACCTCAAAGAGCTCCTCACTGCAGCCCTGCCATGCAGGGACACTTCCACTGCCCCAGGTGTCCCAAGCCCTGTCCAGCCTGGCCCTGGGCACTGCCAGGGATCCAGGGGCACCCACAGCTGCTCTGGGCACCAGTGCCAGGCCCTGCCAGGGAGGGATTTATTCCTCTTACCCAATCTCATTTCCCCTTTCAGTTTGTACCCAGCACTCTTTGTCCTGGAAGAGGAAAGCAGAAGCCAAAGCACCAGGCACGGCCTGGCTCTCCAGCGTTTGATTCCTCAGCTTCCTCTCTTTTGGAGACAGAATATTTTGTGGATTCCTTTCCATCAGAGAGCTGAGTGCTCAAGGGGAGCTGCTGTGCCTCGAGGAGGGAGAGGCCACCCCCCCAGGAAACTCGAGTGACGTTTTCTGCTGCCCGGGACGGGCAGAGGTCACCCCTGGGGGCTCGGGGGAGCAAAGCTCTGCTCCCTCCTGGCACACACCCCCCCAGACTCAGCCCCACAGCGGGGACAGGCAGGCAGAAGGAAGGAGGGGAGCGCTGGTAAAGAGTGGGAGCTGTGAGTTTGTCAGGAGGGCTGGAGAGGGGTTTGTCAGGCCCCAGACACCCTGGGCTCTGCCTCTGTGCCACGAGCAGGAAGGGGCCAGGGAGTTTGTGTGCATTGCCAGGCCAGGAGAGTTTGTTTTCCTTGCCAGGCCAGGAGAGTTTGTTTTCCTAGCTAGGCCAGGAGAGTTTTGTTTTCCTTGCCAGGCCAGGAGAGTTTGTTTTCCTTGCCAGGCCAGGAGTTAGTTTGTTTTCCTAGCCAGGCCAGGAGAGTTTTGTTTTCCTTGCCAGACCAGGAGTTAGTTTGTTTTCCTTGCCAGGTCCTGGCGCAGCAGGGACTCCACAGCCCTCCCGAGAGCCCTTTTGTTTTCCTTGCCAGGCCAGGAGAGTTTGTTTTCCTAGCCAGGCCAGGAGAGTTTTGTTTTCCTTGCCAGGCCAGGAGAGTTTTGTTTTCCTAGCCAGGCCAGGAGTTTTTTTCCTTGCCAGGCCAGGAGAGTTTGTTTTCCTAGCCAGGCCAGGAGTCAGTTTGTTTTCCTTGCCAGGCCCTGGCGCAGCAGGGACTCCACAGCCCTGGCTGCTCCTCTGGCTGAGCAGGAAATCAGCGGTTTCCCAGGAAATCGGGGAGGATGCAGGGCTGCCGGGGGGCACGGGCAGCTCCCGGAGCTCCCCCGGCCCCGGGGGTTGTGCTGGCTGGAAATCGGCAATAAACGCATTTCTCCTCCCGGAGCTGGAATTTAATTCCTAATAAAGCAGTGGTTGTTTTTCTAACCCTCTGCTGTTGCTGCTCTGGCAGTTCCTCCCCGTCCCGGGAGGCTCCGTGGGATGAGTATTGCTGATTATTTGGGATTATTGGTGATTATTTGGGATTATTGGTGATTATTTCTGGCCCTGGGGCCAGCCCGGGGGTCCAGGCCCGGGCCTGGGCTCTGCTCCTGGGGCCTGGGCCCGTTCCCGGTCCAGGTCCCGTTCCCGGTCTCATTCCCGATCCTGGCCCGTTCCCATTCTCAGTCCTGTCCCGTTCCAGTTCTCGTTCCCGGTCCCATTCCTGTTCCCATTCCCTGTCCCGTTCCCGGCCCGGGCCCGCTCCGGTTCCCCGGTACCGGAAGCGCGCGCGGCCCGCCGGAAGTGACGCGCTGCGGGCGCGCCCCGGGCATGGCGGCGGCGGAGCCCGGCATGAAGCAGTTCAATGGCGGCGGCGGCGGCGCGCCGGACGCGGAGCGCGGCCGCTTCCCGCACTGCGTGGTGTGGACCCCGATCCCCGTGCTGACGTGAGCGAGGCGCCGGGGCCGCTCCGGGACGGGACCCCCGGGACCCCCTGGCCTCCCCCGGGTCTCCCCTCACCGGCGCCGGGAGCCCCGCGCGTCTCCCGGGCCCCCGAGCCCCTCCCGGTCCCGTTGCCCTTCCCGGGGTGCTCGGGACCCCGGCCCGGCTCGGGCTCGTTCTGGCGGCACTGGCGGTGCGGGAAGGCCCCGTGCCCAACGGGCTGGTCCCGGCGGAGCGGAGCAGCCGGGCAACGCGGGAAGCGTGTTTGGAGCGCCGGTTTGGCGGCGGGGTCTGAGCGCAGCCCGTGCCCCGGGGCGGTCCCGGTTCCGGACAGTCCCGGTTCCCGGGCAGTCCCGGTTCCCGGGGCAGTCCCCGCTCCTGGGGCAGTCCTGGTTCCTGGAGCAGTCCCGTTCCCGGAGCAGTCCCCGCTCCCGGGGCAGTCCCGCTCCCGGAGCAGTCCCGTTCCCGGAGCAGTCGCGTTCCCGGGGCAGTCCCGTTCCGGGAGCAGTCCCGGTTCCCGGGCAGTCCCGGTTCCCGGGGCAGTCCCCGCTCCCGGGGCAGTCCCGGTTCCCGGAGCAGTCCCGGTTCCAAGGCAGTCTCCGTTCCCGGAGCAGTCCCGCTCCCGGAGCAGTCCCGGTTCCCAGGGCAGTCCCGGTTCCCGGGGCCGTCTCCATTCCCGGGGCAGTCCCCGTTCCCGGGGCAGTCCCGGTTCCCGGGGCAGTCCCCGCTCCCGGGGCAGTCCCGCTCCCGGAGCAGTCCCGGTTCCCAGGGCAGTCCCGGTTCCCGGGGCCGTCTCCATTCCCGGGGCAGTCCCCGTTCCCGGGGCAGTCCTGTTCCCGGAGCAGTCCCGGTTCCGGAGCAGTCCCGGTTCCCGGAGCAGTCCCGGTTCCAAGGCAGTCTCCGTTCCCGGAGCAGTCCCGCTCCCGGAGCAGTCCCGGTTCCCAGGGCAGTCCCGGTTCCCGGGGCCGTCTCCATTCCCGGGGCAGTCCCCGTTCCCGGGGCAGTCCTGTTCCCGGAGCAGTCCCGGTTCCGGAGCAGTCCCGGTTCCCGGAGCAGTCCCGGTTCCAAGGCAGTCTCCGTTCCCGGAGCAGTCCCGCTCCCGGAGCAGTCCCGGTTCCCAGGGCAGTCCCGGTTCCCGGGGCCGTCTCCATTCCCGGGGCAGTCCCCGTTCCCGGGGCAGTCCTGTTCCCGGAGCAGTCCCGGTTTCCGGGGCAGTCTCGGTTCCCGGGGCGGTCCCGGTTCCCGTGGCAGTCCCGGTTCCCGGAGCAGTCCCGGTTCCGGGGCAGTCTCGGTTCCGGGGCAGTCTCGGTTCCCGGGGCAGTCCCGGCTCCCGGGGCAGTCTCGGTTCCCGTGGCAGCCCCGTTCCCGGGGCAGTCCCGTTCCCGGAGCAGTCCCCGTTCCCGGGGCAGTCCCGGTTCCCGGGGCGGTCTCGATTCCCGTGCAGTCCCGGTTCCCGTGGCAGTCCCGGTTCCGTGGCAGTCCCGGTTCACGGGCAGTCCCGGTTCCGTGGCAGTCCCGGTTCCAAGGCAGTCCCGCTCCCGGAGCAGTCCCGTTCCCGGAGCAGTCTCGGTTCCTGGGGCAGTCCCGTTCCCGGAGCAGTCCCCGTTCCCGGGGCAGTCTCGGTCCCGGGGCGGTCTCGGTTCCTGGGGCAGTCCCGCTCCCGGAGCAGTCCCGGTTCTGGGGCTGTCTCGGTTCCGTGGCAGTCCCGGTTCCGGGGCAGTCCCGGCTCCTTGGCACCCCCGGGCTGGCTTGGCGCTCCCGGGCCGGCAGCCGGGCGCGGGCAGCTCCCGAGGGCTCGGGGCAGGCTGCGGGGCTGTCTGGGCACGGCCAGGCCGTTTCCAGCTCCATTCCCCGGTTCCCGTTTGCTGGGCCGGGCTCCGGGCAGGAACAAGATGTGGTTGGGATGGGAACGGCCCGGGCACGGGCTGCACTGCCCCTCCTCTTCTGTCATTTTTACCTCTTTTATTTTTTGATTGCTCCAAATTGTCACCTCAGCCTTTTCCCGGAGGATTTTCCCGAGCTTTTTTAACATTCCTAACCCAGCTGGGAGTGCTGAAGGGAGCTGCCAGAGGCACTGAGTCCCTCGGGGAGGGAGGAGAGGGAAATGGGGGAGATGTAGATCTGGTGGTGGAAGGAGTTGGGATGTAGATGTGGTGAGGGAAAGGGGTTGGGATATGGGTCTGAGGGAAAGGGTTTGGGATGTGGGTCTGGTGATGGAAGGGTTTGGGATGTGGGTCTGGGGGAAAGGGAAGGGGTTTGGGATGTGGGTCTGGGGGAAAGGGAAGGGGTTTGGGATGTAGATCTGGTGATGGAAGGGGTTGGGATACAGGCCTGCTGCTCCCTGGGGCTGTAAACACCCACCAGGGAGAAGGTCTGTGGAACAGTGGGATCTTTCAGAGGGGGCAGTGCTCTTCCCAGAGCCAGGAGCTCTGTTTTCTGTCAGGAGAGCTTGAGTCTGGGCTGCTGGCAAGGTGGGCAGGGCGACCTGGTTTTTGGTTGCTGGAGTGGAAAGTCTGGTTTTGTGCCCAGGCAGTGCCTGCAGGATCTGATCTTTGTGCTTGGCTGACACGGGGGTTTGTCTGGCACCTGGGGCTCCTCCTGCCTGCCCTGCCCAGGGCTCTTTAGGGTTCAGGGTTCTTTGGGTTACACGGCTTTTTAGGGTGCAGGGCTCTTTAGGGTTCAGGGCACTTTGGGTGCAGGGCTCTTTGGGGTGCAGGGCTCTCTGGGGTGCAGGCTCTCTGGGGTGCAGGCTCTCTGGGGTGCAGGCTCTCTGGGGTGCAGGCTCTCTGGGGTGCAGGCTCTCTGGGGTGCAGGCTCTCTGGGGTGCAGGCTCTCTGGGGTGCAGGCTCTCTGGGGTGCAGGCTCTCTGGGGTGCAGGCTCTCTGGGGTGCAGGCTCTCTGGGGTGCAGGCTCTCTGGGGTGCAGGCTCTCTGGGGTGCAGGCTCTCTGGGGTGCAGGCTCTCTGGGGTGCAGGCTCTCTGGGGTGCAGGCTCTCTGGGGTGCAGGCTCTCTGGGGTGCAGGCTCTCTGGGGTGCAGGCTCTCTGGGGTGCAGGCTCTCTGGGGTGCAGGCTCTCTGGGGTGCAGGCTCTCTGGGGTGCAGGCTCTCTGGGGTGCAGGCTCTCTGGGGTGCAGGCTCTCTGGGGTGCAGGCTCTCTGGGGTGCAGGCTCTCTGGGGTGCAGGCTCTCTGGGGTGCAGGCTCTCTGGGGTGCAGGCTCTCTGGGGTGCAGGCTCTCTGGGGTGCAGGCTCTCTGGGGTGCAGGCTCTCTGGGGTGCAGGCTCTCTGGGGTGCAGGCTCTCTGGGGTGCAGGCTCTCTGGGGTGCAGGCTCTCTGGGGTGCAGGCTCTCTGGGGTGCAGGCTCTCTGGGGTGCAGGCTCTCTGGGGTGCAGGCTCTCTGGGGTGCAGGCTCTCTGGGGTGCAGGCTCTCTGGGGTGCAGGCTCTCTGGGGTGCAGGCTCTCTGGGGTGCGCGGTTCCCTCCCAGCTGCCGCCGCCGGGGCTGTTGCTGCTCCCTGGGTGCTGTCCCTGTGCCCTGGTGCTCTCCAGCCCCCGCCTGGCGCCGTGTCCCCGTGCTGGCAGCGGGGCCGGGTGTCCCCTGACGGGTCCCTGTCCCTCGCAGGTGGCTGTTCCCCATCATCGGCCACATGGGCATCTGCACCTCGGCCGGCGTCATCCGCGACTTCGCGGGGCCCTACTTCGTGTCCGTGAGTACCCCTGCAGCCCTTCCCTGCTCACACAGCTCCTTCAGGGCCCCTCTGAGCCCCACCGCAGCTCCTCTGGGGGCTGATGAGTTTGGTGAGGACAAGGGGGGGAAAATCGTGTGCTCCAGGCTCTAAATTAGGAGTTAAATCCTCTTAATTCGGAGTAGCATTAGTGCCTTCAGCTGTGGTTGTTTGTGTCGTGCTGCTCAGCATCAGGTGTGTGCTGCTGAGGGTCCAGGGGATTCTGAAAGTAAAGACAGTTTTAATTTGGGATAATTAATGCTCCTAACTGACTGGGGCGTTCGCAACCAAGAGTTAACAAAATATTAACACTTAAAAAAAAAAAAAAAAAGGGAGGGGAGCAAGGCGCTTGTAGGTGAGTGATGTCACTGTGTGTGGGGTGTAGAGGTGCCCGTGCCCAGAGCAGGAGAATGGGGACAGTGGGATCCTGACCCAGCACCACCCATCCCTGGATATTGCCTTCAGCCTCCTGAGACAGCTCTCCTCTTGTTTTTGTAGGAAGACAACATGGCCTTTGGGAAACCTGTGAAGTAAGTGCTGCGTGTTTGTATTAAACTGAGCAGCTGCCCTGCAGCTCCTGGGGACAGATGCTGGGACACTGCTTTTCCTGGTGCTCTGCTGCCCTCATTCACCTTGCTTTTCAGGAAACCACATGAAATTAAATCTTTTTAGCAGCATGACAGCAACGTGGTGGTGTTAATAAGCAGAGCTTTGTTAGAGAAAAGGAAAAGAGAAGGCTAAACTGTTCTAGGATGTTGTTAACAAGTGCTCTGAGTAAACATTGCCTGGCTGTGCTGCTGAGCTGAGGTCACTGCCATCCTGTCACTGCTGGGGCAGGACAAGGGGCTGGCTTTGTGTCCCCAGGTCAGCTTTGTCTTCAGGATGGCTGGGGGTTCCTTGGGCATGTGGAGCAGCTCAGGCTGTCCCCTGAGCTCTGTGATTTCTGTCTGGGGTGCTGAGCAGCCTTTCTGCTGCCCCTGCTTGTCTCTGGGAGCTGGGCTCTGTGTTCCAGAGGCACTGGATTTATCCAAGTGCTTTAGGTGTGTGCAGGGCCAGGGGCTGGACTCCATGACCCTCGTGGCTCCTTTGAGACTGTGATTCCACCACCTTCCTGCTGGGAGGAGCAAGCCCTGGGGGGGCTGCAGCAGCAGAACAATGCCAAGGGAACTGTTCTCATCCTCCTAGGTACTGGAAGCTGGATCCCAGCAAAGTCTGTGCCACTGGTCCCAACGCCTGGGACACGGCCGTGCACGACGCCTCCGAGGAGTACAAGCACCGCATGGTACAGCCCTGCCCAGCTCTGCCCAGCCCTGCCCAGCCCTGCCCAGCTCTGCCCTTCCCTTCCCTGCCCTGTCCAGCTCTGCCCAGCCCTTCCCTTCCCTTCCCTTCCCTTCCCTTCCCTTCCCTTCCCCCTGCCCTGCCCTGCCCTGCCCTGCCAGGGAGGGAGGGAGGCTCCCCCAGAGGCTCCAGAGAGTTCCCAAGGCATTCTGGATACTCCATCCCTGGAAGTGTGCAAGGCCAGCTTGCAGCAAGGAGCTTCCCAGTCCATCCAACCCAAAGCATTCCATGATTCCCTCTCTCTGCAGTGGTTGGAAGGGATCCCTCGCCCTTCCCTTCCCTTCCCTTCCCTTCCCTTCCCTTCCCTTCCCTTCCCCCTGCCCTGCCTGGGAGGGAGGGAGGCTCCCCCAGAGGCTCCAGGGAGTTCCCAAGGCATTCTGGATACTCCATCCCTGGAAGTGTGCAAGGCCAGCTTGCAGCAAGGAGCTTCCCAGTCCATCCAACCCAAAGCATTCCACGATTCCCTGTCTCTGCAGTGGTTGGAAGGGATCCCTCCCCAGTATTTGGCTGCTTGCACGGGGGTGAGAGCTGGGAAACCTCAGAGGCAGGATTTCTAATCCCTTTTTGTGTTCCAGCACAACCTTTGCTGTGACAACTGCCATTCCCACGTGGCTCTGGCCTTAAACTTGATGAGATATGACAACAGCACCTCCTGGAACATGGTGAAACTGTGCTTCTTCACACTCCTCTATGGGAAATACGTCAGGTGAGCTGAGGGACGGCCTGGGTTCTGCAGCACAGGGGGCTCTTTCCTTCTCCTGAGCCCTCTGAAGCCTCACCTGGCCCATGGAGAAGGGAGAAACATCCCCAAGCCGTGGGTGTGTTGCTGTGGGTGGTGCTGTCACTGCCTGTGCTCAGCAACAGAAGCAGGAGTGCTTGCTGGGCTGCCCTGGATGCTGCTCCCAAAATCCTGTTCCTGGCTGCTGATTTGGAGTGCCTGGAATTTGGGAAATGCTGGCTAAAGCAAGTCTCACTCTGCCTGGGTTAGGTCAGAACATAAGGTCACAGGATGGCTTCTCTCCAAGGATTACTGGTTTCCCTCCCTCTCTTGAATCTTGTTTACATAAAAACTGGTCTGATTTCCAGCTGCTGTGGAGCTTCCCACTGCAGTGGGGAGGGAAACCCCGAGCTGCCCTTCAGGAAAGGCTCATGAAGCTCCACTTCTGTGGTCTTCCCTGGACTGGAAGAGCTTCTTTGCCTGCTTTTGGGCAAGGATAGCTCCAGCTGTCTTGCTTAAATCCACCAGCAGTCAGAACAACAAGCCCTGTGATAATGGGGTTTCATTTTTTGAAATGTCACCATTCCTGTCTGTGCAGGGATGCTGTGGGCTTGTCTTTGACTTAATTTAAGCTGGAAGGAGACTGCAGCCCTGTTGTTGGTGGTATATTTATTGTGGTCCTGGCTGGGTCTCAGTTTTTAACACCAGATTTCCAGGATGGGGTGTGTGGCAGTGCCAGCAGCAGGGAGCAGTCAGGCATCTGTCTCTTTCTGATTTCTCCAGTTGTTCTCCCATCCTTTTGTCTCTGCTGGTTTCTCACATTTAAACCTTCCCCCCTTTCCCTCCTGCAGCATAGGGGGGTTTGTGAAGACCTGGCTGCCCTTTGTCCTCTTCCTGGGGGTGATTGTCACCGTGGTTCTCACCCTGCACCTGCGGTGATGGCAGCCCTGACCCCCCAGTGCCTGAGCACACAAAGGAAGAAACTGTGACTGATCCAGCAGGATGGAGGTGTGGCACTCTGGGAGCCTCTTCCAGGGAAGGTGGCAGCCCCACTCCATCGTGACAGCTCATCTTCCTCTCCTGGAGCTGGCTTCTTTTCCTCCTGTTTCTGTTCTGTCGATGGTGTCTCCCAGTGTCAGGGGTCTGGAAGCTTCTGTCCTCTCCCTTTCTGCAGCTGGGGAGGTGGGGCTGGGATCAGGAAAGGAGAGGGGTGGGCACCTTTGCTTTCAGTGCCAGGAGAAGCCTCAGGGCAAGCTCTGCCTCCTGCAGTGGCACAGCAGATGCACCTTGGGAGGGTCTCTCTGGTCAGCTGCTTCCTCCTCTTCACCAGATGCTTCCTCACTGCATTCCCTGGCTCTCCCGTTAGGAGCTGCAGTTTTCCCTGTGGCACATCTCTCCAGCAGCACACATTCCAGAGGGGAGGGTGGGGTGCCCAGCACTCAGCGATGGCCCCAGCAGTGGCAGGAGGTGTGTGGGACACTCCTGAGGGACGCTCCGTGGCAGGGCCAGCTGCCCCTAGGGAGCAGCTCATGGCAGGGTGCACCCTTCAGGAGGCAGCCCTTCGTCCCTTTCTGCTTGTGCCAGAGAAAATATCAATTCCCTGCTTCTCCCTGGGCTCTCTGTTGCTAAATCTGGCTCTGCAGTCCTCACAAGCCACTCGTTTCCCTTTGATCCCCCTGCTCCCAGCAGGCAGCAGCTGGGGCAGAGAGCCTGAGCCTGGGGCTGCAAATCCTCAGTGGGAGCAGCACCTGAGCCTGGAGCTGGGGAGGGGAGGCACTGGAAGGTGCCTGTCTGGCTGGGCTTTGCAGCAGCAAACTGGGGCAGTTCCTGGGTGGTGACTGGGAATGTTTGGGGAGCTTTGGAGAGCACGCCTGGGCACGGGTGCTGTGCAGGGATTGGTGTGAGGAGCACAGCTCGGGCAGGATGGGCCCAGGGGGGCTGAACCTGGGTGCCAGGCAGGAAGGGAGTTTGGGTGTGAGCTGGAACCCCTTCTGCCACTGGGTCTGCTCTGCAGGTGCTGATTTTGGAGGGCTCTGAGTTTTAAACCCCAGCCTGGCTGCAGGGTCCTGTGCAGCTGGGCAGGTCCCTGCTGGCTGCAGAGGGGGCAGAAGAGCTTTTCCACTCAGTACCTGATGGGTTCCAAGGAATCCATTTCAGGGAGTGCTTGTGGCCAGCAGGAAAGCTTTTCTGGGGTCCCTGCCATGCCTGCAGCTTCCTCTGGCTGTGGAGCCCCCTCACTGCCAGCTCGCTGGTTTTCAGACCCCTCCCCGTGTGCCTCTGCCACTTCCAGCCATGTGGGAGGGTCGGACCCTCCCCTTGAGCTCGTTTCTGTGTTTTCCCTTCTCCTCGGTCACTTTTGCAGTGACCTCTCACGCTGTGCTCGTTGTTGTCCCTCTGTGTCGCGGCGTTCCCGCAGCCTGGGGCGCTGCGGGGCTGCTCTGTGCCGCAGGGCGCGGAGAGCTCCGGGACCCCGAGCAGAGAGCCCGGTGAAGCTCTGCTCTCCGCCCGGGAGAGGGGCGTGCTTTCCCTGCTGTGATTTCAGAGCGATCCTTGGAGTGCCGGCCCGGGGCTGGACCCACCCTCAGCAATAACCGCGAGCCCCTCCGCCCAGCCCGCCCTTGTTTTATCCACGAGCTCTGCAAGAATTGCCAAAGCTGAGGCTTGGGGGTGTCAGGGGCCCCCTGGACTTCCAAAACCCCACTGTGAAATTCCCTCTCGTTTGCTCCTGATGCTTTTTACAGAGCGGAGTTTGGAATGGCGAGGGCGAGCCCCCATCCCTCATCCTTTGTTCCCTTCATCTCTGCGGGGCGCTGGATTTCTTTGTAAATATTTAAACTCTGCTTCTGTGGTTTCATAATCCCGACGGCAGGGAAATAAACTGATTTCTGTGGATATCTGGGAGTGCTGCATCTCCTCTCTCCTCCCAGCCCTCGGCCCAGAGCAGGGCTGGGATCGGGATCTCCCTGCCCCGCTGAGCCCTGGCCCCTCTCCTGCCCAGAGGATCTGGATCCTCAAGCTCCCACACCTTTGGCTTTATGAACTCATCCTGGAGCCCTTTTCCCTGTTCCAGGGAAAACTCCCAGCCCTGCTGCTGGGGAGGAGGTTTGGGGGGCAGGAGAATTCCCATCCCTGCAGTGCAGGAAGGGTTTGTGGGATTTAATGCTGGGTCTCGACGCCTGGGCAGGAGCAGCCAAGTGTTCTGGGGTGGGAGATGCTTTTTTCCAAGGTTGATTCCCTTCAGCTGTGAACAGCTTCCCTTTTGTCTGTGCTGTGTCCTTTTCTCCGGGAGGCACTGCTTTCCCAGCTCCTTTCCCTTCCCAGGGGAGGGGATGCCTGTGCTGGCCCTGGGGCTGCCAGAAGCAAAGAGCCAGACTCATTTTCCCTCTCCCAGCAGGGTCTGCTGCCTGGGCTGGGAGCGGAGCTGTGCCTGCTGACTGCAGATGCAGCCGCCGATTTTCTGTTCCATCTGACATCCAGAGGCTGGAGCTGTGGGGAGGGAGTACATCAGCCTTAAAATTAGGCTGTGTCCGAGGCCAGGGGATTTCACGGTGCAGCCATTTCATGGAAAACCACCTGGATCCTCCTGCTCAGCCCCTGCCGGCGAGCGAGCTCAGCTCCCGCGGGCCGGCAGGCGGCTCCGGGGGCTTCGTCCCGCACACATCTGCGGGAAGGGGAGGGGAGGATGCAAAGCCCCCGGGACCGCAGGGGTCCCTCCCCGCCTGCCAAGCCTGGCAGGATTTCCCAAACACTCTCCTGCTGCCGGGAGCTCCGGGGATCAGCGGGATGAGCCCGTGGTTCGGGTCACTGCAGGGAGGGAAGAGCCGGGCCGGGTGTGCCGGGCAGAGGCTGCCCTGCGAGCCCGGCTCCCCTGCTCCCCTTCTCTCTGCTCCCCTGCTCCCCTTCTCTCTGCTCCCCTCCTTTCCTCCTCTCTGCTCCCCTCCTTTCCTCCTCTCTGCTCCCCTCCTTTCCTCCTCTCCTCTCCCCTCTTTTCCTCTTCTCCCCCCAGGAGAACCAGACCTGCCTGTACCTCCCGGACCTGAGGAGCGAGTCCTGCAGGGGAAGGAGGCTGGGAGCAGGGCTGGGAGCAGGGCTGGGAGCAGGGATGGGAGCAGGGATGGGAGCAGGGCTGGGAGCAGGGATGGGAGCAGGGATGGGAGGAGGGATGGGAGCAGGGATGGGAGCAGGGCTGGGAGCAGGGATGGGAGCAGGGATGGGAGCAGGGATGGGAGGAGGGATGGGAGCAGGGCTGGGAGCAGGGCTGGGAGCAGGCCGGGACTCGCTCCTGGCCAGCTCTGGCTCGGGGCTGCCCACGCGGTGCTGAGGAGAGAAAAAACCTGCCCTGTGCCTGTGCCAGGGCTGCCTGCAAGGAAAACCATCCCCGAGGGCTGGCCCGGCACCTGGCTCAGGTGTGCTGCTGGCCAGGGTGTCCCTGGGTGTCCAAGGGTGTCCCTGGAGGCTCCTAGGTGTCCCTGGGTGATCCTGGGTGTCCCAGGTTGTCCCTGGGTGTCCGAGAGTGTCCCTGGGTGCTCCTGGGTGCCCCAGGGTGTCCCTGGGTGTCCCTGGGTGTCTCCAGCCTCTGTCCCCAGCACCCCAGGCTGTGGCTGAGGCCCGGCACACTCGCTGCACCTCTGTGTCTCCAGGGATGGGCTGGGACACTCTGCAGGATGTGTCCCACCTCTCCTCACTCCCTTCTGCATCCCATAACTGCTCCTCACCCTGGGTGCTGCAGGAGCAGAGGGTCCAGGGTGCCCAGCAAGGGCTGGGTGCCCACCTGAGCCGGAGCTGAGCCCCCAGCCCACGAGGAGCCCTGAGGGCACTCAGGTGGCCTCACATCCTCGTCCCTCTGCAGAGGCCTGCCTGCATTCCCAGGCCACCCCTGGGACCGGGGGGATCCCACTCCTCTGGGACCCCCCAGCAGAGCTGAGCAGCGAGCTCTGCAAGGGGAGAGGGAGGGGAGACCACGGACAGACACACGGAGCTGCTGCTGAAGTCTCATTTCCTGAGAAACCAGGCTAAAAATAATCCCCTCTTCTGGCAGTCCTGTGCTCGTTAAGTGCTGCCATCTCACACTGAAGCTAGGGGCAGCCTGTCCCCACGCCCAGCCGGCTGCTCTCCCTCTGTTATCCAGGGAAACTGAGGCACGGGTCCCGCTGTGCTGCTCCTGCCCCGGGTTTGTCCCTGCCTGGCCCTGCTGAACCCATCCTGCGTGGGGCTGAGCGCCCAGGGTGGTCCTGGCTGCTCAGGACCCCCGGCCTTTCGGAGCAGGATGGGGCGGGGGGCTGGATGTGTCCGTGGGACAGGGAATGGGGGCTGCGGGAGCCATGGGGGAGGTGGGAGGTTTGAGGAGGGGGCTGGGAATGCATTATGGGCTGGGGGCTGTGGAGCCGAGGGCACCCTGGGGATGGGGTCCTGCAAAGCCCCAGGACCGGGGCTCCACACTGCCTTTGGGTGGGGGGCTTCAGGGTGCGGCAGGGGCTCCCCCGTGCCCAGCACAGACCAGTCCCCCCAGGGCAGCCCAGGCGCTCCCCCGGGAGCCCCAGAGCCACCTCCTGTCCCCAGCCCCGTGTGACAGCAGCTGGGACATCCCCCACCCCCTTTTCCACACCCTTGGCTTCGAGTCTCCGCCAGGCTTGGGGTCCCCCCGTCCCCAAGGGGCGCATCCCCGCTGCGCCACGCCTCCCAGTTCAGCCCAGTTCAGCCCAGTTCAGCCCAGTTCAGTCCCGTCCGGCGGGTGCTGCTGGCTCCAGTCCCTGCTTTCGTGCCGCCGGGCGCGGAGGCGCTGCCGGGGCTGCGCTTGAGTCATCGGGAACAGCACCCACCGGGCCGGGGCACCGGGCAGAGCTCCCACCGAGCCGGGGGCACCGAGCAGAGCTCCCACCGAGCCGGGGCACCGGGCACAGCACCCGGCGGGCCGGGGGCACCGGGCACAGCACCCAGCGGGCCGGGGCACCGGGCACAGAACCCACCGAGCCGGGGGCACTCACCCACCGGGAGGCGCTGAGCCAAGGAGACCCCCCAGCTGGGCAGGTAAGAGGGGGCGCGGGGCTGAGCCCGCCGCGGTGCCGGGGGGGGGGGGGGGGGCCCCCCCCCTCCCCCCCCCCGGGGGGCGGCCCGCCCCCGGGGCTGGCCCCGCTCCTCTCCCCCCTCGGGGGGCTGCACGCCCCCTCCCCGTGAGGAGCGGGGCTGGGGGCTGCGGCTCACGCCTTTCGGGGGTGGGTTTCCCTGTCCCCACGCTGGGTCTGAGACCCCCGAGGTGGGGGAGCGAGGGTGTCCGGACAGCCCTGGGCTGGGCTCGAGGCCACCGGGACCCTCCTGGGGGCTGCGGGGGTCACCCGGGGGCGCTGCCCGTGGGTGCAATTTGGGGAGGGGGCCTGGGGGGTGTCTCACGCCGTCTGGACTCCCCCCCTCCATCTTGTGGGGCTGCCTGCAATGAAAAATGGGGGACGCGCAACCCCCAGCTGCGGCTTGCTGGGGAGGTTTAACTGGTTTGACTGGTCCCGGTGTGGGTGGGGGGCGGGTGCCCGCACCCCTGTGCGCCCCGGGGGGCTCTGCGCTTCACCTCGGCTCGGTTTTGGGGACCCCACAGGGAACGGGGCACCGCAGCGGCGCCTGGCTCACACCTAGGTGACATTTTTAGGTGGTGGCTCTGTTCCGGGGCGGGGGGACCCCCCCCGTGTGCCGGCAGTAAACAGGATACGAGCGGCTGCGGCGGGGAGACAGCGGCGGCATCGCCCCGGCCCGGGGGGACCCGGTTCGTGCCCCCCCGAGACCCTCCCAGATCCAGGAGAGCCGGTTCGTGCCCCCCCCGGCCCCTCCCAGCCCCAGGAGAGCCGGTTCGTGCCCCCCCCGGCCCCTCCCAGCCCCAGGAGAGCCGGTTCGTGCCCCCCGAGATCCCGCCCAGGGCGATGTCGGGGCCGGGGGGCTGTTGGGTGTCCCAGGTTACCCCGAGGGAAGCAGGGGGTGCTGGGGGTCCCTGTGTGTCCCTGGGGGGGTCCCTGGGCTGGTTTGCTGCGGGGTTGGCGCCCACCGTGCTCAGGTGCTGGGCTGGGTTGGGGACCCGCAGGGCTGGGACAGGGCAGGGGCACCTGTGGGGCAGGGACGGGACCCTCCGAGGGGCTGGGGACAGGCTGGGACAGGGCCACGCGTGGGGCGGGGTCAGAGTCACCTTTGGGGCTGGGGACGGGGCCGCTGGTGGAGGTGGGGCACCCCAGGGCTTGGCTCTGGGGGTGCCCGGGGGGGTTCAGGCTGGTCCTGCCCCACGGCTGCTGCAATTTCCTGCCCTCGGTGACAGCAGGCAGCGCTTGCCCAACACCGGGGACAGGAAGGGCCGTGGCGAGGCAGCGCCGGGCATGGGGCAAGACCCCCAGGACCCCTCTGGGAGGTGCCGTGAGCTGAGCACGGGCTCGGCCCTGCTCGGGCTCAGCCCAGCGTGGGGACAGCCAAGCCCCTTTGCCATCTGTCCGTGTGCCCTGGCAGCCGGAGAATCGCTGGGAAAGCGGCAGGGGCAGAGCCAGCCCTGGGCAAACACGCTGGGCAAACAGCGGCCGCGGGCAGGGCTGGCCTGGCACGGAGCCGGCAGCGGGAGGGGCTGCGCGGAGCCTCGGGCTGCCTGTGCCCTTCCCCGGCAGCCTGGGCACCGGCCCGGAGCCCCCGAGCCCCGCCTGGCACCCTGGGCACCGGCCCGCTGCTCCTTTGTCCCCGGGGGTGCCGCGGGGGTTTCAGGGTGCGGGTGCGGGCTGAGCTCCCCCCGCTTGTCCTTGCAGCGGGATGAGCGGGGGGGTCCCTCCCCAGCGGCCCCCGGGTGACTCTGCAGATGCTGGCATCGCTGGTGCACGCCCGGCACGCTGAGCAGCCCCGCGCTGTCCCCGCGCCGTCCCCGCCGCCCCGCATGGCGCTGCAGCCCGAGGCGCTGCTGGACCTGAGCTTCCTGACGGACGAGGAGCGGGGCTGCATCGCCCGGGTGCTGCAGCGCGACCGGCAGCTCCGCCGGCGGGAGCAGGGCCGCGTCAGGTGGGCCGGGGGTCCCTGTCCGTGTCACCCCTGGGGACAGCGGGGAGCCGCCAGCAGCTCCCCTGGGGCCCACGGGGGACAGAGCAGCAGGGCCGAGGGTCCCCTGCTCCCCCGGGGTCGGGGTCACACCCCGAGCTCAGCCTCGGTTTGTCACACCGGCACCGAGGGTCCCGGGGGTCCCGGGGGCGGTGGCTGCTGTCCCCCTGCCCTGCTGGGGCGGCTCTGGGGCGGTGGCAGTGCCAGCCTGGGGGTGCCACTGTCCCCTCCCGCCCAGCAGCAAGCTCCGGCAGTCGGTGTCGGACCCGGCGCGGCTGCGGAGCCTCACCGGGGACTGGTTCTGCCACGCCCGGGCCCAGCGCCACCAGCCCCCGCTGGGCTCCGACCTGGTCCGGGCCTCCATCCGCCGCAGGACGCGGCCCCGGGGTACGCCGGGGGCCTGGGGGGCTCGGGGG